CGACATAATGATAAATATGTAGAAAATTGTAGAATAAGCTATGGACATCAATAAGAAGAATAAGACAGTATCTTGGGACAGAAAAGTTTTGTTTTTAAATAAAATTCGATTAATTTTGCTTTTATTAATAAAATCACAATTCGCATAATAAGACGATTTTAAATATCCTTGAAACTTTGTAAATTCAACATGAATTAGCAGTAAAGGAAGTTACTTTATAATATAATATGAATAACAATTAGTCGTCGTGAAATATTCGGCATGTAAAGTAAATCGGGATTTGCATCGAAAAGCATTGTCATGAATGAAAACCAGGTCAACGAAGGAAACGTTGTAGGCGATGTATATAACACTATTCATGAAATAAAGGTGGAAACTCGAGGAAAAACTACTGGAGGTAAAAGACAAGGACAGTTTTCCTGAGTTAGTTTCAAAGACGAACTCTGAGCTCGATAAAATTGTCAAAGGAATGAGGGCCGAACCATCAATTGTCTCGATTGCAGTTCCGTCATCAAGTGCAGAAGCGTGTTTTCTTGCATTCCATACATTCATGTGCGCAAATAAATTTTGTTCGCATTCTGCGGTACAGATCCTTGATCAGAAATAAGCCTCGTCGCCGTTCTTTCACTCGGCCATTGTCCCGTCTATATATATTTTGGGTGAATGAGGCCGGCACTTATGAATCACGCTGATGCGCGAGCGAACGCTCAACTACTTCAGTGCCTCCATCGCTACCCACGGAAGAAAATTGAATCGTGATGATACATAAATTTGCCCCACCTCTTCTTCCTTCCTCTCCTTACCGAAGCTTGCATAATGCGTCCGTTGAGAGCGGGCAAAAGAATCGCTGTCAACGACGACGGCGACGACAGCGCGCATTGAGTCACGAAAACAATACCGAGAGCGGTAAATTTGCATCATATAAGGATCGCCTTCACGTTTCTCGTGTACTAGCCGTGTATCGATCACCTGTGAGAGCGTGTGTAAGAGCTTATATCTATGCGTTTCTGTGTGGCCGTTCGCGTCCAAACTTTATGAAAGCCAAGGTCTTGGAGCTCGCGCATTAAAAAATCCTTCACCAACTCAAACGAGTGAGAGAGAAAAGAGAAAGAGAGTGAGAGAGAGAGAGAGAGAGAGAAAGAGAGCGAGAGAGAGAGAGAGAAATAAGAGGGGGTGCATCGTAAACAGACGACTACACGTATTTCTTCAGAATAAGCTTATCGAAAACTGAGAGTTGCAGTCCACAGTTTCTTATCATGCCTCCTTTTTATTCTGCTTCTGTTGCTTCTGCACGTCCATATGAAATTAAATTGTTTTCGAGAAAAATATCAGGCTTTATTTTAAAATAAGATTTTTTAAGACCTTTGTTCATCTACACGATAATATTATAGAAAATAAAACAATAAGAGAAAAATAATGTGAAAAGTATATTCTGCTTTTAAAGTTAGTAGTGGTATTGTACAGTTGAAAGGAGACCAGAAACATAAAAAAATGAAGGATGTACACACGCGCGCACACAATAAAATTATTGGAAAACAAACTATTATTTATGTGAATTTTACACTATTTTAAATAAATTGTTATATAGCAAAATAGTTCGTATTCGTTTTCTTAAAGTTTTCGGTCGAGATAGAGGCAAAACGTAGAGGTAGGGAAAAGGCCGAGGCTAACCATAAGAGAGTGAGAGAGTTAGAGAGAGAGAGAGAGAGAGAGAGAGCCGGATACAAAATAAAAATAGTAGAAGACAAACGAAGAAACGAAACAGAAAATCTAAACTTACGTATATATATATATATATATATAAAAAGGGAAGGGGGCAGAAGTTTGGTATTTCTCACTCAAGTGTCGTGCGTGGAATCCACGACGGTTATTAGTATGCTAATCAAGATCTCATTCCTTAAAGTTCTGAATATTTCGATTTCTCTGATATACTCTCTAGTGTTTTTCGTCTCTCTTTCATTTGCCAAACCTCGAACTTATATGTTTAACTTTTATTTTCGTATAGTTTTAGAAACAAGTTGTAGTACTTTTTTCCTTATGAGTCATCTTAACAATCCCATTTAATAAATGAGTTTATTATTTATTCCTACTTCAACTATTTTTCCTTTATATGAAACTCGATAATTATTATTATACTATATGAGTAGCTTCACAATGTTCGAAATTATGCACAAAGGTATTTACTATTTAACACGTGACTTGGAGAGGAAAATGTAACAGAAAATTAATCAATACGTTACTTAAGTAATCTTAAAGATGTAAGATCATGAAGAATAATCAATATATAAGAAGACTATCTTAACTTACTTTGAAAATAAAAAATAATTGGTATTTATGTCAAAGAAATCGAGACAAATATAAGTGGAAGATCGTGAAGCAAATAAAATAAAGATGAGGAAGAGGACAGTCTGAAGAAAGAGTCGTACTTCTGTCGATGAAATTTGTGGAGGCGAGAAGCGACAGCTTATAGTGACGCAACGCCGACGACAATAGTTCGGCGTGTATCGAATGCGAAATATTCAGTATGGAGTGATAGAATATGTTTGTGTGTTCAGTTCGGGGGTCCTTGTGAGTATTAATTGATGTAAAAGTCTCACTGAGTTTTATGAAGTCGCGTCGCGTCGACACGATAATCAATGGCGATAGCGTTCTCACGAAGAAAGAAAATCGCTCGCGTTTATTTCAATATATACATTTATGTAATATATATATATATATATATATATATATATATGATATCCATGTTACGAACAAAAATGGAGTATCTGCAAAAACGAATACGCACAATCTTCGACCATGACAGACAAATTAAAATTATGGATTTATATTTGATATAAGAGAGCAATAAAATTGCTTGTCCCTTATTAATTTCTTGATAATTAAAATTTACATTTTTGAGGAAGGTGGGAGATGAAGAATTATTGATTCTTATCCAATCATTACGTATAACTACAGAGGAGAGATAGGATAGAGACCGATATAATAACAGACGAATAAATATTTTTTCACAAAAATCTATCCGTGCTTTTTCAATCTGGAATATCGTGCGAGTTTTATACGCCATTAAATGATCTCATGATCGTACATTCTCGTGAGAATCATTGGCATTCGCCTTACATACTCAATGTTATCTAGTTGGATTAGCATTTATTATTGCTGCAGCCCAGGTGGCATTATTTCAAATAAAGAATCAGATCGGTAGCATCTTGTTGTTTTCGTTTAATAAAGGTCATGCTCTCCTTGCGGTCACATCTCATCACATTTACTTTAGTTATTTAATCTGCCAATTATAAATAATTATTTCACAGATCTTGAATAAAAGAGCAGTAGCGTCTTCTGTGCATAAAAGTTCGTGGTCGGTTCTCGACTCTTACTCCGCGTGTCCGATCATCGTGCACGTCTATCCGTGGAAGATTTATACACGCGTGTTCATTCGCTCGTGCGTACGCGAACGTGTATGTGAAACAGAGAAAACGTGGACCCGTAGAGCACTAGGTAAACTATTGCCCGTTGTTAGCCTAATGAGATCCAATCGGATGGGTCACTTAGTATGCGGTACCGATATTTTCTCCGTTCTCTCACCGCATTAGCTAGAGAGTGAAAGAGAAACGAATGTGAGTGAGTTAGCAAGTGAGAGAGAGAAAGAGAGAGAGAGAGAGAGAGAGAGAGAGTGAGTGAGTGAGTGAGTGAGTGAGAGAAGGGGAGAAGGAGGAGGACGATGCCTTGACGTCCACAAGAGCCGGTCGAGACCAAGGGTCAACACCCTTGCATCCGACTGCCTGTTAACAAGACTTTCTGTGAGCACACGATGCTGCCGGGACTCTTGTCCTTCGGTACTCTATGTGTGGGTCGCGAAATTATGGAGAGCACGTGTGCACGCAACTTTGGCGCCTGAATATTAGCACGCATGTATACACACGTGTGTGAAAACATCATAAATTTGATGTAAAATTGATAATTTCTGTTAACTATTGCATCAACACAACAATTAAAATACTTTAGTGATCATGTACTTGAGTATTTTGATTGCTTGGATATTATGAACATATACTGGATTTTATTAGAACGTTCCGGGCCTCGATCGTAATTTTATTTCCTCATCCAGTCGATTTATTATTAAAAAGTGTCATTATTAGAGAGGTCATTTATTTATGTGAATCATTGTTCGAAATATTGTAATCAAGCGATATGGTGGGAATATTGAGAGCATATCCGTATCATTATGTAGACAACTCTTCAAACTATATGCACTTAAAATTCAATTACCCTCATAAATATTTTAAGAAGAGAGAGAGAGAGAGAAAGAGAGAAAGAGAGAGAGAGAGAGAGAGAATGAGCTCCTCTTGAAATCAATTCCGTTAATTTCAGTTACTATTTGCTCTTATTAGCCATTAGCGTAGCGATCGGAGCCACAAAATATACATAGATTGAAAATGCGGAGATTTTTTTTTCTGTCAGCGATACTTGACACGTTAAATCACAAAATTCACATTAGAATCGTAACCGTAAATGTTTGGAAACGACGCATCTACTTCCATTTATTATTATTCTTTATGAGTTGGATGCGGTAAGTATGCGGTCGCACTATTTTTCCCTATGCCTCTACCTCTGTTAGTCAAAGTTACCGCAATGATAAAAGCAATGGTAACAACCGTGTCCTCAGCATAATGCTCGTCAGTAACGCTTCTGTTTCCGTCATTGAGAAAGGGAGGAGTAAGAGCACGAGAAAAATTCCGATTGCACAGCAAGCGAGTGCTTTTTCTACTCCGTGAATTTTTCTTTTATGTGAAATTGCTTTGCCATTGTGGTTTACCGGTCTCTTCTTTATTCTTATCCGCAACCCGTTCATCTTGTTTCTTTTTCATTTTCTTTCATTAATGGATAAGAAAAAGGAGCCGAGTTAATTTTTGTAAAGATTTGATAGCTCGTTCTTGTCGCTCGCCTTTTCTAAACCATTATAAAATAGTAATATAAGTGTATAAAAGCAGTTTTTTAATTACCTTACAACCCTCGCAAGTAAATGCCCCAAAGTGAAAACCAGCTGCCGGCTCTCCGCAAACCTTACACTGTTGATTCATCTACACAAAAAAGAAAAAAGTATTATAATCATGACGCTTAAATGATATTTATAAAGAATTACAAGATTTAGGTAGAAAGAAAAAGGAGGGGGGAGGGAGGGAGGGGCAAAGGAGTGAAGAAAACAAGTGATAAGAAATGAATATAGAAGAAAAAAGAAAGATCTTAAATGTAAAAAATTGCGCGAATCTTTATATAGATGTTATGTAGTTTAAACAATAGTATTAAATATACATTAAAGCAGATTATCCGATGAAATTCTTCTGCCTATATCAAATAAAGAAAATTATTGTAAAAATGTATATTAATAATTCTGCCGGTGGCAGAGCAAGGTTTCACTGTTTAAAGCTTGGAAAAGAATTTCCACGATGTCGCGTCCGATATTAAGCAATTCAATTCATTTACATGACCGATGCCTCATATCACCGCCTCTATTCAAGTGGAAAATTCAACTCTTAAATGAGTGAACAAGCGATAAATCGCAGCTACTTTGAATCCGAGGTCGATGTTCGGCGCTTGCGCGATAAAACTTTTCGTATCGAATATATTATAAAATAATTAACTTCTTACACTATAGGCGATCAGAAGAAAAATCAGAATTTGAAGATTTTCGGAAAATGGTTTTTCTATTTTCGTCTGATACATTGTTCTGCTCCTTCTTCATAGAAAGAAAACAGGAGCAGAAAAATGCGAATGAAAGTTAATTTCATAGTGGTAGGAAAAGAAACGCACAAACTTGTTTCCGCAATAAATAATGTTTCGTGTTCATCTTTGATTCGATACCTCGATAATGTTCCCTTCTTCTCTTCTTCTCTTTCCACTTTCTTTCCGAACACTTGTCTACCCGTTGTTTGTTCGCTGCTGTTCTCTACTACCTTATACTGCTTTCTCATACATGAAGTAATTCGATGCAGCTGTCTTGCTTCACACTTCGATATTACAATATGCGATACATTAAAAAAACTCATTCTTATCGGACCGATGTCTATTAGTAGATTAAAACTATTTTATACGAGATTAAATCAGGTGTCTAATGCTGTTTTAGTCATACATTGGCATAGGAACTATTGAGTCCTCGAAGGGCAGTAGTAATACTTATATTATGTAATATATAAGTGCGCGCGACTCTGGAAATTGTTACGTGTACATATCTTGACCAGAAAATTAGAACACATTCATTCCGTCGTCGCAGATGCGTTTTTCTCCATTCAAACAAGCGACAATCGAGGTAGTGAGAGAGAGAGAGAGAGAGAGAGAGAGAGAGAAAGAATGAGATAAACAATCGCCAAGTACAGTTCTCGATTATTCAAGGCGCTCACCGAGAGCGCGAGAGCGCGATGCCACGTTTCTGCTGCGTTTCTACTGCGTCTTTCTAGAAATCGCGATGTTGTAGCGAAGAATACGACTTGTCGGTGACTGATCGAATCGCTTTGATGAATGCGAGCTCCAGCATTCACTGTTTTCTATATTGACTTTTCCTTCCATGCAGGTGCCTATTTGAATTATAAAACTTGTTTTTGTTTAGAACCGGCAGTGGTTCTTGCTATCATATGCATCTCATTCGACAACATCGATAGGGGTTTATTAATTGATGGGACATTCTGTTTGCTGCTAGTCAATCGAGAAAAGTCGAGCTGTATAAGCTGGGCTGTACGAGATGAGCAGAGGTCATAAAGAGAATTTGATGGAAAAAGAAGGCCATCGATGCTTATGCTTTACATTAGTAAGAATGCTGTACGTACTCTAGTCGAGCTTTTTCTATCGGTCGACTCTAGTGTAGGTATTTTAACGAGAATTTAGCGCACGGATATTTAGAGTTCAAATCTCCGTTACTAGGATAGAGGGATGCAGTTCCTCTGTTAATTGCACTCCAAATAGCATCCGTATATTATCCACCAATATTATTATAGTTTTTCACTTGTAGCACCTTTTTTCTCCTTTATTGCCTTTATCATTAAATCAGAATACTACTCGTTCAATATTAAATAATTTACTTTTGCTGCAATAAAATTTTTTCCCTGTATATATATATATATATATGTGTGTGTGTGTACATAAGGATAGATTAAAAAAAAATTTAAAAAAAAAGAAAAAAGTTTCTCTCTAATAACATCAAAAAAATGAATCACTTTTCAACGATTTTTTATATGCGTAACTGTATATATTGGATTATTATCATTACGATTTTATTTTACTACATAATTCTTCAAGACTCCTTATTTCTATCTATCTATATAAAATTGCATATATTGAACGACAAAAATTGAAAAAAAACTTTTAAACACGGTAAATTATTAATAACTGAACGAATTTCATATCAATTTATTTCCATTACGATTATAAATCTTATTACAATTAAAGAAATCAATTATAGCGATCGTCGAATATTAAAATATATGTACAAGAAACTTATTTGTCTTAAAGTGCTTTTTCAAGATTACAAGAAATTTGAATAAGAAATAAATTCAATATTCCATTATCCTTTCCTTCTTGATTTAATCCTAAATCACCAATCACAATCTACTCGTTTAAATACAAATCATCGATATGATCATTGGAATACTAGAAAAAGAAAAATATAAAAAAGAAGAAAAAGAAATAACTCAGTTTAAATAAAAATATTTTTTAATTCCAAAACAGTTATATATTTTTTGTCATAGACAAACGGGAGAGATATTTCCAGCTTTAATTAATGACATAAAAATTTATAACACTGGGTATTACGATATCTTCAATAATAACTATTAATTCAGAAATATATCAGAATATTGAGAGAAAAAAACTGCTTCATAGCATTTAAGTAATATATTTCAATTTGTTATTATAATGAGCAAATAATTACATTTAGTTTTTAAATAGATCAACAGTTATTTAATTTTTTTTAGATAATATTTCTTAAAATGATTAAAAATTTAATAATCATATTTGAATAAATTAAAGTAATTTTAGTTTATATTATTAGTATAAAAAATTTCTATAAAGTGTAAAAGAAGAATTATATAAAGAAAAATTATGCATCCAGATAAATAATTGTAATAGCTTAATCGATGTACGCAAATATCGTTTTTTCAAGTGATCTTAGAGGAAATATATGTTTTTAAGGTTTTTTCAAAATATGCTCTTTTCATGGTACGTATGATTTTTCATTTGGTGACATTATCTGAAGATATATATATATATATATATATATATATATATTAAAGGAGTGAAAGAAGCAAAGTGAATGAGCTCAGAAATGTGACGAAAAACCGAAAATGTTCGTGGAATACCAGGTCAAGGTGGCCTCTATTGTCGGCTACTTAAGACGTTGGCACGTGCGCTCGCAAGCAAAACGAGTTAGTCTCTCTTTTTATGTACTCTGTCGACGCTGAATCAGTATCATCCCGTTCGATTTCAAGGACGAGATGAAATCAGAGCGGAGTATCAAAGAGTACGCAAGAGAGCGGGGAGAGAGAATACGCTCGATATATATTCATCCACGACGGCACAATCTCCTCATTTGCATATAAGCAATTGCATTCCAGTTTTTACAGAAACGGAATTTATAAGACAAAGCACGCGGAATGCTTTGCGAGAACGGAAGAGAGGAGGGAATCAGAGATTGAGAGTGAGTATAACTGCACGATTAAATGGATCTCCGTTTATGCATATTCGACCTGTGTCAGGAGATGGATACTCATGTGCTGCACTTGAGAGATTCGCGCAGTGGCAGCAGTATTGCGTAAATTATAAAGCTGAATGCGCCTGCATTATAGTTGTGGGAGTTATAAGCTGTTCTCCATCAATCCAAGGACACGAGGATCTTAAAAAGTAATGGTGATAAAGAAAAAGCAGAGACCCGGGTATGTGCCCGAGAATGCACGGGAAATTTCAAGATCGAGCTTTTTAAACGATTGCACCATTGAGTAAAAAATCTGAGCCATCGGAGACATATTATGACCTCCATATATGCTTCACTGTATTTCTATAATTTCCTCGTCTAAACAACAAAAAAACTTATTTATATATGCGCCGCGAAGATAGCCGTCTTTTCTATATTGTAGCCGTTGAGTCAAAAGAATATATTGCGTTAAGCGCATAATGAGGTTATTAAATATTCTAACAGTTTAGAACACAAACGATGCACAGTGCAATTAAAAACAAGTTATTTAATTCTGACATTTAGAGAATATTTTATATGTCTCGAAGAGCTACATGTTTACAGATTTAACATATTAAATTTTTTCATTGATTTTATCGATTTATTCAAAACATTGAGATTTCCCTTCCAATCACATACGTTGAAAATCATACAGTTTGCTTCACGTTGCAATGGCGTTACCAAGCTTATGTTATTATGTAACACTTCTTACTGATTTATTCGTTAAATAGTAAGTATACGTATAAAATATAGTTTTTAATTTCAGGCCGCAAAATGAAAAATAGTGTGCAATGATGAGCTTAGGTAGATTTGATCGCCCAAGTTTCTTGAATTATTAAAAAAGTAGAAGATTCTTAAATTTAAATATTTAGTAAAATATTTAGTAAAACTTCTATAAAGCGAGATGAATTATGTATTCGACAAAAAGTGAGGAATTCTTATTTTAAATGTTTTGTTTTTTACATATATATATATATATATATATATATATATATTTTACTCATTTTGAAGAGTATTAATTAATAATTAATACTAGGTACTTTGGAACATTTAATCAACAAGAAATTTCTTTTGATCTTTGAAAATATATTGGTTTAATTCTTTCCGTTTTAAGTCAGTAAATATTTACTCAACAAATAATGTTAAAGTAACAATTATTTCTATCTAAGTGTTTAGAAATACATAAGTTTTACGCATATAAAAATGTCAAATTTTTATACAAATAAAATATGCGACTTTAATCGTATATTCCTATTTTTCATTCTATTCGATCAATTGACATAGGTGGCTTAATGTAATTTATATATAAGAAAAAGAGAATATAAACATTATAAATGCAAAACTTATGGTTCAAAGATGAAG